AGAAAGAATCTCACCATCACTTTCACAAAAGCAATTGGTGAAGTACAATAAACACGAACATATGAACAAGCAACGAGAGTCGGCCACTCAGCCCTTCGAGCCTGCCCGGACACTCCTGGCTAATCTGATTTTAACCTCAACTCTATATTCCTGCATATCTCTGATCATCTTTCATCCTGTCTACCTTTGCCTTAAAAATATTTAAAGATTCCGCATCCAAATGCTGGTCTCCCATGTGCAAATGAATGAATATATTAAAAATAACAAGAGGATGATTGGGTCCTTAACATAACGTTCTTTAGGGCTTTTGTTTGAAGGGAACAAAAATAAATTCCTTGCAGTTGACAGATAATCTACAACTCATGGCAAAGTGGAAAAGAATAAGAAAGCATTGAGGTTGGGGCATTCTAATATAGACAAAACACACACTTATTCAGGTCTGAAGTATGAAGAGCTTTAGTATCAAAGTTCCATCTCGGAGTTTCAGTTGTGTTTAGGGAATTGGGATCAGAGTCAGTACTGATAGTTTTACCTGGATAAATGTTGAAGTAAAGCCTCTTCTATACAACTTCTAATGAGCAGAGTCTAAATGTTGGCCAATATTTTCTCAACAAATATTCCTATCAAGAACCCAACATAAATTTGATTTGACTGAGATGTCATGATTGAAAGCAGTAAAATATAATGTTCCCTGCCAAGGCTTTAAGCAAAGGGAGAAAGAGATTCCAATGTAGAGTTAGTGAATGTGAACGATTAGGTCAGATTATTTTTCTTGTCGTAAATTTTAACCATAAAGCCCCTGTACAGTGTCAAGGTATCTGAAGAACACATACATTTTACATGGGATTTTATAGATTGTTGTTCAAGTTTTGCATCCAACTTTGATTTTCAAGAATTTTATAAAAATGTTTTCTGTCAAACATGTACAGCCCTAAATTAGGAGGTAATTCTTAAATGTTTAATCTTAAGGAAAAATGCGACTACTTAGCTGTAGATATTGTGAAATTTTCCATAAATGCCACTGGTCAGTAAATTGCCCAGGAAATGTATTGAGAAAAGACCACTTATATTTAATCATCCCGAAGGCTATGGTACAGGATAAAGAAGCTATCTTGAGAGAAAAAAAAGCTCAAGTATTAATATTAGTCATGGCGGGGAGTCAAGTTTTTTTTTTGGTTGAGACTTCAATATTCCAGTGTTATCATTAACAAAATCTCAATTCAATGACTTGTACTTTATCAGTATTCACAGAAATAATCTGCAGGTTGTTCTATTTTGGTAACAAGAACCAGACAGATTTTCAAGACACGTTCTGTTATTCTCATATATTTCAAATCATTCCACAGGACTTTGGTAAAACAGCAGGGAAATATATTACATTTGAACAAAAGAAAATGTGCTTTCACTTGGATTGAAAATGCATGTAATAAGTTCAGATTTTACAATGAAGTTGAAGGTCACCAGTCTACTAATTTGCAGTGGCAGCAGACAGGCTTGTTATCTCCAAAGTCAGTAGACCTTGCAAGGATGTTCTTAAGTATCTTCCAAAGGCTTTCAGTAATCATGCCTGCCTGTGTAAATAACCATGGGTCTTCAGCCAGGATCAGATAAGTAGGTCAACATAAATCTTCTTGTTCTTAGATTCTTTTGAGGTGATTTACAATTTATTTGAAACAAAGAATTTGAGCAATATGTAAATAAAGTCCATAGTTCTGAAGACTGCACTTCCAAAAAGAAAGTTAAACTTATTAAATATAAAAACAAATTATACATTATATTTTAGAAGAAATGCAGTTTTGCAAATGTGGGACTTCTTTTGAAAAAATCAGTTATACTTTCTAACGTTATGATGCTAAGTTCAAATTTAATGTACTAATTTCAAAGAAAATGTGATGACTGTGTAACTACATCCAAAAATAATTTCACCAAAAAAAACCTGTGTGAAGATATTCTCCATAAATTACTTATTTGATTTGTTGCTACCTTTATGTTCTCTTTTTATAGTCTCTCACACACACAACCAGAAGCAGTGACTGTGCATTTAACTTGAATTTTGTTTTGTTTTGTGGGTCAAGTTTTGTTGCCAGTTCAAAACGAGCTCTCGCTGAGGAGGGCAGAGTTGGAGACCTCAGGTAAAGCAACATGAAGAAAACTGCTTCACCCAGACAGTCCTATCAGATATGGGAAGACTTCCAAAGGAGTTTTGCCAGAATAGCTAACAGTATATACAGAGGACTAGGTCATGTACCAGGCCATCATCATTTTGGAATCTACATGAATTGCTGTGGGAAGACTACAGATGACCTTTTTATAAATGCAGCTTGTGCTTTTATATTATTTTTAGAAAAAAAGAGTTAAAATGTTCCCAGAGATAGATGAGAAAGTGAAATTTGAAACATTCAAAGAAATCTCAACTGATCTGTTAAAGGCAAAGCAGGCCCAAGGACCAAATGGCCTACTTTTTGTCCTAATTTGTTCATACACTCTACCTCAAAGAAACAAGTGTTTAATTTAGACAGGTTGAGGGAACAAAGAGATAAGTGTTTTAATCATATCACTGCAGCCCCTTCTCCTACAGTTGAGTATAAGTGCCAAGCCTCAGCAGCATGGGAGCAACATTTTTACAGTAGGAGCATGTTGCCCTCTCTCAGATGTCAGAAAGTCTACTCTATCACCATCCCCTCAACCAATAACAACTACAGAGCCAGAAAGATAACTTTGTCAGACAATGTTGTAGTCAGGCCCACTGAAGCTTGAGTCTCTTAAAAAGACAGGAGCATCCACTCAAAGAGCCTCATCTGACTAATATTAGCTTTTTATCAGTAGCGTGGAAGCCGCTAAGATGGGACATTCATAGCAATAGTAAATTTAGCAAACTTTCTTTTGAGAAAAGCACTGTAGAATATTCCCCTGGAAAACAAAAGAGATTGATGCAATTATATGCTTAGAATTAAATTTAGTGCCTTTATCACGTGTGGCTATGCTATATAGTTTCTTTATATTAGTTTTTTTTAAAAATCTGCATTATTAGAAAATGATTGAGGTAGAATTTGGTTAAATGGCTTCAATGTAGATTGCAGAATGAAGGGAATGGAGCAGGTGGTAGAAAAGACTGATAATTCTGGGGCAAACACAAAGGAGACTGGAGAAACTCAGCAGATTTGCTGGCATCTATGGAAAGAAAAAGAATTGTATCAGACTCTAAGCATTATCTCTGTTGATCAATCCAGAGATTCTCTAGCCACCTTTGTGTTTGTTTCAGATTTCCAGCATCCACATTATTTTGCCTTTATTCAGCTGATAATGCTGGGGTCTTTTTCTGACTTACCTGTCTCAGAAAGCTTAAACAGTTAATTCACTGCAGTGCTCTCTCTACTGACCTTCCTCCTTGTGATGCTTCCTCATGTTCATCGAATCCCTCCTTGATAATGATGGTGCCTTTTGTTGCTGTGCCTTCTCCTACTCCAATCCTCTCTGCATTGTCAACTTGTGCATACAGCTGTAAACTACAGTGATGCGGTCCAGTCTGTCCTGATTGTTGCCTGAGCTCTCCTCACTATTGTTTACCATGAGGGCTGTTTGCAGCACCATTCTGAGTTATGGTAGGTCTCTATAGTGTCTGCTTGGTCTAGTATGGTAGAGGAAATTGACTCGTTCATCTGATGATGTCATTATTGGATGTTAGCAACTTTGTATTACGTATAAGTTACGCTGATAATAATAGACATTGTTACAGAGGCTATGAGGATGACTAGATGATAGGTCTCGCTCCTTCAAGATCCTAAGCTGTTCTACCTCCAGGCCTCCATGACATCATCACAGTGTGTGCTGCTTAAGACTTCTCAGTATTAATGCTTATACACCCATCATTAAGGAAGCCCCCTGCCCAGACTACGTGAGGGGCAGTGAATATTCCTGGTGGTCCCATGCACTGATTATATCAGTGTTGTTCAGGAAACTGAGCAGTGGGTGGGTTTGGAGCTGGTAACCCTTATGTAGAATTAGATAAACTAAATTGCCCAGAAACTGACCATGTGCTCCAACTGGAAATATGACCATGTTTTTGCTACAAAAGACCCTCTACCCATCTTACTTCATCACACCAACTATTCATTTCTTCCGCATGTGCTTAAAACCATTTTGTGAATTGCCTCAATCACCCCTTGTCTGAGAAATTTCCATAATGAATAAAAAATGTTTCTATTGAATTCCTTATTGTCCTGAAGTAGCCATCTTCTGGTTATCCTGAACAGGGGTAAATGAGTGTTCTAAAAGTTAAGGTAGCGACAGCAAAATTGCATGATTCTTCATCAGTGATCACACACTGTTTTGTGTTTGTGAATATTTGTAGAGATAAGCAATTATACTTCTATATTACTTCCTGTATGTGTTAATCAATTAGTGTATCTTTATGGAATAAGTTTTGATTGATGATAAACCAAGATTGATTGATCTTTTTGTTTAAAATCTGATATAGGTAACATATTTAATTAGTAATTAGTAACAGGAAGATGTATTCTTACTGCATAGCTTGCAACATGCAATAATAAGACTAGAGCAACAGCACACTCCTTCTGCCTCAATTTTAACTGCATACTGACCTGAACAAGTACTCCTTTAGGCTCAAATTACAGTCATGTCAGTCAATGCCAATAAATTACATGCTTAGTTGCTTTTGCGGCAGAACTGTCCAAAATGATATAATTAGCAACCAGAGGCGGCTTCATAGAAAAACTGACAGTTATGAGCTTTCCAGTGGGACCATGTGCTATAAACCTATTTTATCGGTTATGGGAAATAGTCAACAGGTCTGGCAGCATCTATGTAGAGAGAAGAGTTTCAGGTCAATGACAATTCATCAGAACCCAAGTGACTTGAGGTTTAGTCTTCCTGCTGCATCAAAGATGTGAAATGAAATCGAATAAAACGAATAGGGATATTAGCAGGCTTATGTTATGCTGAAACCTTAAATTGATTGATTCCATACTTATTTTGTAAAGGAAAAAGACAGAGAAAAGTGGATTATCTTCAGGTAGTTCATCGCTTCCATCAACTTCCACTCCAATCAATGCATCATTGGAAGATTCCATGCCACTTCCTTCTGAGACCTCTCCTGTTGATTTAGATGATGACGTCATTTCTCCTCACCTCCTGATGCCAGACAGCCTTAGTCAATTGGAAGAGTTTGGCCGCCAAAAGAAACGGCAGAAGAAGCTTCCCAAGCAACAGCGTCAACGACAGTTCAGTGACCTATGGGTTCGCATTGAAGAGAGGTGGGTTTTCATTTTCTTTTTCAGTTCTGGAACGAGGATTTGATATATATGGCATTATTGCGTGAAAAGGGAGAAATACATTTATCTTCTTCTTAAACTGTGCATGACATGATGGATAACACAAATATGCAATGAAAATATTCACGTGTACAGTCGGTTCTGCTATAACGTGTTTCTTCAACGTGAACTGGCTTTAACGCGATTGAAGAATTTAGACCGCTATTTGTAGAAAGCAAACTCTCCCTACCCGTGTTGGCTATAATGCGATTCCGGCCCCATTAGTTTAAATGGCACAGCAATTGCGTGATTTTCCTACAAGGCGAGATCACACGAGAACAGAACTATCGTGTTATATCAGAACTGACTGTACTTTTATTGTGTGGTGGGATTAGATATCTGTTGAATTAATAGTGCAGCTGTAGTAGTCTCAAGCCTGAGGCATTAAATGATATAGTCAGGGAAAATTGGCATGAGGAAGGTAAACCTTCATTGAAATCAAATAACTCAGCACGTATCCAGAATCAAACTTGGGAATTTTATGGCTTACATAACTCGGTAATTTATTAGGTGGTATATTTACATCATCAACTATTCCATTAGTGTCTCCATAACAAATTGATAATATTTACTTGGCTTAAACTTTGTGTTATGGATTTTAAGTCATAAAATCTCGTTGTTAAGAAAGGTTGCTGTGATTGCAAGATGTTAACTTATTTTCTACTTGGTTTTAGTTTGCTTTATAGTTTGTGTAAAACTGGATTAACATAGCTTTGAACATTAACGTAGCCAGAATGTGGCATTCTAGGTGGGCTGTTGTTTCTGTACCTTCAAAAATATATATTGCAAGTTGTACCAATAATTAAGTGAATTAGTGTACCCTTTGTTTGATATCAATTCATATAGACTAGGAAACTTTAGTATGAACTCGCCAGTGACTTAGATCATCTGAGCTTGAGTACTGGTAGACATTACAATTAACGTTAGCATTTGTGGGTTAAGGAGGGAAAGGTTAGTTTATGGAAGTTCCTGGTACTGATAATGACTTAGTGATCCCTGCTGTAAAGGTTTTCTGTCAATATCAGGTGAGGCTTGACCATTGTTTCTAAAGTGGTCACAGAGTGTGCTTTCACTCACTGTCAAGGCTTACGCCTTTATGTTAGTAAGTGAGTTGGCAGAGGACAGGCAGCCATGTATCTGGACCTAAGCATAAATCAACTTGTTCAAAAGAGAAAAGAAAAAAAGTTTGAATCCTTTCAGGCAGCACAGTGAGTTACTAGATCAGTGCCCAAAACTTGCATTTTGCATTGCTGGTTATTAGTTTCTGGGATTTGGGTAGTGGCAACTTTAGTCTTGATTGACTGTATTTCACAGATTGTCATCAGCTCTAGCTTTATACTGATATTCAAAATCCACCTAGGTACATTCGCCAAAGTGTCTGTTGCTCAATCAGTTCATCAGCCTGACTAGCAAATAGTTGTAGATTGTCCAACTACCAGGAAGATCACAGGATCTGGTTCTTACACCATGCCTACACACAAGTAGACTTTGCATCTGGTTTGGGATCCTTAGCTGACTTTTTCCTCCCAATACAGGTGTGCCGAAGTTACTGTAGCACTTTCTTGGCTATGATCACCTAACTCAGCGCAGTCTGAGGATTAAAGTCTGGACCTGTTCAGTCCTGTGGATCCTAGCATTGAGAGATAAAACATTCACCTTTCAAATTTCCTTTCATTTTCACTTCCCATTTCCTTTATCTTTCTTGGTTTTGATCCCGTTCTGTTCTCTTTAAAGATATGCACTACTTTCTGCTGAATGCTCAGCGAGTAGGGTAATTAATTTCAAAACCAAAGTCTTTAGTCCACAGGCTGCACAACTATGAGAATACAGCTTATTCAATGGCAAGCTCACAAGAGCCCCATAGTAAAAGTCGTACACTAAAACACTGCAGTCAGTGCAAATAATTTTTTTAAAAGATGGAAAGTTTATTAGTTTTGAAATTCACCTGGAAATGATATCAACTGGCAGAGAAAGATGTTATAAATCACAAATATTAAATGCTTCATATAAACAGGGTAGGGGAATGCTACATGATTGTGAAGCATCCTTGGCTGTGCACATGTGGGAAAAGTGCTCTTGGTAGAAGGCACTGGCACATAACTGGGTTGCTGTGGATTGTTTAATATAAACTCTAACTGCAGATTGTTAAATGAGATGGTAAGTGCCCTCAATTTTCTCAGCTACATTTAAGGTTCTTACAGATTGGCAGAAGCAAAGGTCTGGAGAGAGAAATGTGGTTATGCTATTTTTTAGTCAATAAGTTAGTGACCTATTAATTGAATATGCCGTATTTTTAATAACTTCTGAAAGAATAAGCTCAGAGGTAGTTTCAATTTTTATTAAATCTGTTTACATTCTACCTTTGCCCTGGATTCTCTACCTCTTTATCCCTGCATTTCTCCTGAAGGCACTAAATTATTAACTTGATAGCTATGACAGCCCAAGTAGCCATTCTTCATTTCACAGTTTATGCTATGGGATTTGGCATTTCATGCCACTTTCTTATCATACTGTACTGACAACTGTTCTTGCATACCATTTTTGTTTGTTGCTTAATCTTCTTCATTTATTTTTTGGATTTATTTTCTGTTGTTTTCCAGTTTGCTCATTCTCTGCTCTTTGGAATGTTCCCAATCACAATGATTGAGTATCTCAATTATGGAGCATTTACCTGCTGAACCAATGGGCTAACATATGTGTCCATTGTTTTCACATTTTCAATGGAATTACTTGCAGTCTGAAATACTTATAAATCATGTACCCTTGTTGACAGATTATTGTCTAATAGCACTCTGATTTGGAACATTATTGTGCAACAGTATCTATTAGCATTGATGTATTACCAGATGAAATGTCCCTCTAGCTGTGTTTATATCCCGATAAAGCAAACTGAGATGTCAGAAAGTTATTCAATTAATAAATGACTAATAACACTGAGTTTTTTTGTTACTCTCAGCTGGAAAAAAATCTGTTAGAGAATAAAAATCACAGCATTGAGAGACCAGTCAAATTTGAAATCTTAGGATGGCACCAAACCTGATTAAACAGTGAAGCAGGATGCTTGACCCGTTAGCCCAAGCTTATCAATGAGCTACCCTGATATGTTGTGCCAAGGCTAATATGATAAAGGGGCAAATGAGCCAGGGAAAAGAAAAAAGAATAGTCTGTTCACAATGCATGTCATTAATGAGCAAATCAGCCAACAAGTTCAAGAGATGAAACGCAATGTGAGTTACAAATCTCCACATCTTGCTGGATAATTTACACTGCTCTGCAGTTTGCTAAATCCAGAAACATCTACCCTAAAAACTTGGGTGGAATTCTACATTCACTATCCATTAAACCTGCTGCAGAAATTTGGGATGCATAATTAACAATGTGCGTTCTCTTTTAATAATATGGTCATTGTTAAGGTGATGCCTATCAATCCCAGAAGGAGCAATTGCTGCCCGTGGGATAAATACTTTTAGAGATTCACTGAATTCAGTTTGTCTTCATGCACTAATTCAATTGATGAACGTGGTATTATTTCCCATCTCAACGGGAATTTCACTGCTGCATTTTTCTTAAGGACAAAAGTTGCACTCACGGCTTTTTTATGTCTCTAATTGCAGACGCAAGAATCTATTACATGTTATTTATCTTTTATCTCAGTGCATTCTTAACTTGTGTAAATACACTTTGTTTTAAAACACAAACTTTGTCTTTTATTTTCAAATTGTTTCTGTGCAAAAATGATTAAGAAATCAAATCAGATGATCAAAAGAACTGAATATCCTACTGATTATGTAGTTTGACACAGTAGCATCGGGACAGTAGGGGCTCCTGCATGGATCACGCTAACATCTAACTGAGCTAATGCCATACTGCAAAAAGAAATTAGATCATTTAAAATATATCTATGGCTCTCCAGACATCTTATGCATGATGAATTAGGGAATCAGAAGTTGGAATATTAAGCACTAACAACTATTGCATGGATCCCGTTTGCCCTTCAGTCAGTTTTGTGTCCTTCAAGTGTAATCTTTGTTATGGCCTGAGCCTGGACGAGGTCCCCCAGGTTATTATGATTCCAGACATATACCCCAAATTGTTAAGCTTCTCTGTGAAGAGGGATGAACTTCTTTATTCACCCAACCCCTCAGTCATTTGTGCCAAGGTAAAGTTAAAAAAGAACCCTGCCTTCTGGATGCTTTTTTCCCCCAGACCAACTGAATTTTGGTTTTAAAAAGCCAATTTAACCAGGCTTTCTTAAGTTAACCAAAGAGTGAGTTTAGTAGTTCCTAAAAGTGAAAACAATTAATAACACATGGAAACAGATTGGGAATAAGAAGTGAGTGCTCAAAAGGATTATAGCTCAAAGGACATATGGTTTAGTATCTGGATCATTTATAAAGGGTATTTGGTGGAATGTTGTTAGTTGGATCATCCGTTTCAGGATTCTTGGCTTCACAGTTAGTTGAGATCCTGTGATGTTTCCTTTTGACAGCAGTTAGCTGGGAGCACTCAGAACAAAAGTGTCCTTCTGTCCTCCTGTTTACTTTTGGCTGGATTGTTAGCTATCTGGCTTCTATCACGCGGAGTGAGAGAGGCCTTTGACCTGTGGTGAACAGGTGATTAGTGAATGGTTCTTCGACTGAGACATTCACAGCTCACTAGTGCTTCAGCCAGGCTTATATATCTTTTACCGCTAGTACACCTTCCCCCAAAAGCACAAAAAGATCAAGGTTGCAGTCAGTTAATAATCCCATTTTGTATATTACTGGAAGGGCAAAAAACAAAAAATGTCTGCAAGAGCTGGCTTTCTGCTTAAGGGGATGGGATTGGGGTGGTGGGTAGATAGTCAGCCCCTTCATTAACTTTCCCAGTTACATCCCTCTTTCTGTTTGAAGTATGCCTAACACCCTTCACATACTACATTCCATGGATCCAAACAGGTTATT